ATACATTGGGACTGACAGTAGCTACAGTATCTGGCACAGGTTCTCTTGGGAACCAGAACACAGGCCTCCCACTACCAAGCTCTTGGGAGACCAGTGTGCCCTGGTGGCACAGTGCTTGTCATATGCCAGCCATTCCAGGCTTGCCTTTGTTCTGGTACCTTGGTGCCTTTGACTCCAGACCCTTTCCTATGGAAACCCTGGGCTATTTATTTCTCCTGGTAAGTAAATCCTAGCCCCATTCATTGGGAACAGTGGCTGGCACAGTGGGAAATTAGCCCATGGGAAACTGTCATAACAAGCCCTCTGAAGCTGTGGGCAGCTCTCTTTGTATTCTTACTACCACCACCCTCAAACCAATTTGGCCAAACTTCCTTGGGGTTTCATCAGGAATAGCTAACATCTAGTTTTATTATTAAATGTTTATTTTAAGAGCAATTCTTGGCTATTGTACAATTGGGGGTGGAGAGCTGGTAGAGGAGAAAACCCACTGAAGATTACAAAGAAAGATGACTCCAAACCGTTTTCGCTTCATTCTAAGGCAGCTGCCTGGTCCCTGACCCAGAGCAGTGGCATCATAGCAATTGTGTGTCTTTGCCATTCTCAGGCCAAAACCACCCACATGCACACACACATGGACACACGTGCACAAACATGCAGTGAAACTACACAGAGTCTCCAGGGAGCACACTGTGTTTCTAGTAACAAACCACAGTCTGCCTCTAGGACGTGTGACCAGGCTTTGCTCTGAGAGAGAAGGTTCCATGGGAGGGGAAGTGTTCCTGCCCAAGCGGCAGCCCAGCCTCCAGGCAGCGGTTGGCAAGCCCCAACAGGATGCCAGGTTGGCTGGTGGGCAGGACAAGACGCCACTCTGAACCTCTCCCCATTGTAATTTACCAAATCTCTCTGGGGCTCCTTTGAGCCGTTTTCTGGAAATGCCACATTTCAAGGGTCTCCCTGTTAGAAAAGGTCAAAGTTCATGTGGGCCTTTCATGTTAAAGTAACTTGAAAGAAAGGAAAGGAAATGTATATTTTCAGCCTTAGCTGTGATTAAGTGGGCTCAGGCCATGAGAAGACTTAGATGGTTTACATGACGTTACATGAAGAGCCAATTAGCCTAACAACTTCCGAAAAATTTCTAGCTCAAGAGCAGCCGTTTATTAGAGCACTTGGAATGTGCCAGGCATTGTGCTAAGTTCTTTCTTAGGATATATGATTCATGCATCTCTGCCTCGCTCCCACAGTGCGAGGCAGGTTCAGGTGTGATACCCACTTTGCCCACAAAAAAGAGGAGCCTCAGAGCGGGTCAGTGGTTTGCCTGGGGTCCCCCAGCTAGTAAATGGCAGGGCAGGGATGAAATCTCAGGGCTGCCTAAATCCAAAGCCAGAGCTCTCTTGCTCTAACCCCCAACCCTTGAGAGCACTTTGTCCTGCATCCAACATCTGAGGACAGCACAGGTCCACCTGGTTTATTTGCATGAAGATGAAGCCTTGTTAAATCTCCAGCTCTGACCTGGGCTTCATAAGCCCAGAAGGCTCTGGGGGCCCCCTGCAGATTGCCTGGTCCCAAAACTCCCCTGGTCACATCCAGGGGCAGCCACAGCAGATCTTACTCACCTCCCCATGGAAGAACACCAGGGCCTATCGCTATGGCATCTGAGTCCGTGTCCAGAGCAGGTAGTCTAGAGCAGGCCCAGGGGTGAGATGGTACTGACTGAGGCTGCTCAGACTCTGGGAGACGCTCTAAACCCTCTTACCTAGCCGACAGTTGAGCCACCCTACACAGACCAGTCACAGGATTCCCCAGTCCTCCTGGCAGCCCCTCCAGGCAGCATGAGTCAGCCAGAAAGTAGGAACTCGATTATTGGGCAGCTCACTGACATTTGTCGGCAAAGGCCACAAAGCAGAAAAGGACCCCGCTGAATCGTAAAGGTCATAATGGAACACTAGTGAGGGTATAAAAGGGTGTGGGCTCAGGAGTTAGATTGCCTAGGTTTGGAATGCTGATAACCTCCCTTCCAAGCTGTGAGGCCTTGGGTGACTTATTCAACCTCTCTGGGCTTTAGTTTCCTCATTCATACTGGTAAATGAGTACCATCGTCCCTCTATCAGAGGATTGGTATGATGTTTAAGTGAGATAATGTGTGTGAAGCTCTTGACAGGATGCCTGGTACATAGCAATCACTCAGTAAAATGAAGTCACTGTGTGGATGATGACAGAATCAGTGCTAACCAGACAAGGAAGGGGCTGCTACAGGGCCTGCACTTGCCTTTCAGGGACAAGTCTGAGCTCTTTTCCTCTCTGTCTCTCCAGGCCCAGATGAAATCTTCCCACTCCTGGAAGCCAACCTGACCACTCTAGCCCCATTGATCTCACCACATCTGAGCTCCTTCTACTCATGGTTCATATAGACTAATCCAGCAGCGAACGCGGCTCTAATCATTTCTCTCCTGAGCCCCTCCCCTCTCCACAGCCTGAGCTTAGGTACTCAGGTCTTCAGGCTGATTTCAGTGTGGCTGTGGATATCTGAAACTCAGCCTGTCTCTCCCTCCCTCACCCCTCCTCACACACCTATTTCCCTACTCACCTGCCTGCTCCCTGTTCCACCCAGCAGGGCAAGAGGTTGGAGCCACGACTCCACAGGGCGATGGATCCCGGACTTGAGGATTTCAGAGCTCTATAAAATGCCCAGAGAAATTTGAAGGTGGGAGAGTGAACAGAGTTGCCAAGCTTTTCTTTTGCCAAATAAGAACATTTAAAAAAATAAAATCAATTCTCACCATCATTTCGGTAAAGAAAGGCTGTTTTCACACCATAAAACAAAGTTCATAATCTCTGATTAAAGGCTAATACTTTAAGCTGAAAAAATGTAGCCCTCTTGAAAAAAAACAAACTCACTCACTGTTGCCCTGACTTCTCTCCTTTCTCTATGGACTGGAGAAAACTTCAGCCAGTGTCTTCATGGCTCTGGGGAACTTTGTCCTGGAAGAGGCTCCTGCTAAGTTGGGGTCACCTGAAAAGGCAGGAAGACCCTCGGAGCCTTTGGGTTAGGCAGATCCGTATTCCCACTCAGCTGGAACAGGGGCGGCTCATCCCAAAGCCAAGCCGGACATCTTCAGGGGTTGAGGTGGGGGAGGCCCTGGGCCCCCTCCTCCTGGGCTCTTCCCTGAGACTGGGCCCCCTCTGGCTGGAGCCCCTCCCCCTACTCTAGAGGGGATGAGGTGAGACAGCTGCAAGCTCACCCCAGAAAAGCTGACTAGGGGGACCTAATGGGCAGGGGTTTTCCACACCCTCCCATGGCCTTACTGAGCACTCGTGCCCACCCCCCAGCCCCATGCCTCCTCAGGCCCCCCGGAAGGGAGGAAAAGAGGGCACTCCAGCCCAGAGGTGGAGGGGCCGAGGCGCCCCGCTGGGCGGGCGCAGATAGGATCTAAGCGCGGAGAAGGACTGCCGAGGCTCTTTGATCCGCAGCCAGCCAGGCTGGGCCTGGACCCCGAGGGGCGGCGCGGCTCTCTTCCGGCCCGACTTTGCACCGCAGCCAGGGGTCCTACGAGGCTCAGCCGGAGAAGCGTCCAAGGCACCCTCCCTTTCCAAATACCCTCTGGCCCAGTTGTTCTTGGGAGAGATGGGAACGTAGACTCTACACTGAGTCCAGCACAGAAACCTGCTGGGGGCTGCGGTTCACTGCACCGAGACTCAAAGGGGCCCAGATCCAGGGGCTGAGCGGAGGCCAAGCGTGCTGCAGAGGCCCGAGTGGACTTGCCCCCTGGCGCCTGGTAGATGCGACGTAAGCGGACGCGCTGCCCGCGCGCCTCCTGGCTTATAGACCCTGCAGCCTGGATCTTGCGAGGTCCCGTTTGCGCCGGGCTCGGAGTCAATAAGCTCCGCGGGAATGCGACTTCTCCCGTGTTAAGTTGCCTGGCACCCCCGGGCCGCAGGTTCTAGGCCTGGAACTGAGTTGGGACAGCCGTGGGAGGGAGAGGGTGTGGCTGGAGGATCCCCATGGGGGGGTGGGGGGCGGGGAGCGGGGTCCTTCCTCCTTGTCCTGCTGCTGTATTCGCGCCTTGGAGCCTCCACATGGCCGAGGCCCTCACAAATGTGATGTATGAGCCCCACAAGTAACAGGCACTCAATAAATGTGTGACGGGCACATGCTGGTGTTCGCGCTGTGAGGGGACGACCTCATTGGCTTGGGTTTGGAAAATGGGCTTGGAGGCCAATTCCTGTCAGTGCGGGGTTGGAGCACAGCCTCCGAGCAGCCCCAAGCTCTAGGAAGGGCTCAAATCCAAGCCCAGGACGTACTAGGCTCAGGGCACAGACGCAGTTCACACTTTGGCTCCCGCAGTTTTTCTGGGTGTCCGACGCCTCGCTAGGGTTCCGCCGGGAGAGCGAGCCCTTTAAGAATATACCCCTGGGCGTGTCCCGGTCTCTCCCGGGAGAGGAGGGGCGGGGCCGGGCTACTTGGCTCCACCCACCTCCGCCCCGC